CCCTTAGGATGTGTCCTGTGGCTCCAGGGCAAGGTAGAGACCCCCGCTAAAGTTTGTCTTTTTCACAGATTATTTACTCCAAAGTTATTTGAAACACCATAGACCTGTTTTGTCCTTTTTTGTTCCAAGAAAAAAGTTTAACAGAAATGTCAGTGCGTTGACAAAGAACCTTCTGGGTTCATGTGAGTTCCGCTGGGAACAGAGAGGGTAGAGGGTGTCAGGGAAGGTCACTAGTGTGGTGTCCCTGTAACAGGAACAGCACATTTGATCTGCAGACCTATGTTCCCGCTTGGCCAAAGGCTCTGTTCCCTCTGTGAGTGACATCATTTCATTAGCGTCTCTAATTCTATTCCGGGCATTCATTTAATTTTGTATCTTTTTTTCCTCCCAGCTGGACCGACCACCTTGATCATAAGGTTCAGTATTTCAGAGATCAATTGTCCTGACTCCTTCCAGCAGGTGGCCAGCCAAGTTTCCCTGTCACGTTGCTTAATTAGGTCCTTCGTTGTAGTTTTTAGTGCATTAACCATATACAAAAAGCATCTTGTTAAGGGGTATCTATCAGTTTACTTACTATGTTTCTCTTGGAGTAACTGATATTAAATACTTTCATATTTACTCACCATTATACAAACAAGTAAGGCCTTAGTTCTTAAAACAGGTCAGCAACACACAAATCCCATCTTTACCTTTTTACCTCCTCAAATCTTATCCGTGTTGACTTATAATTTGCTTCACTTACATGTCCTAGAGATAGGAAATACAATTTCAATCTTTTTCTCCCTTAGAGTGCAAAGTGTCCTAAACGTGAACAGGCTTCAGAATCATCTGGATGCCTGCTCAAAGGCAGATATTGGGGCCCATCTGGTACAGGTGAGATGGAAACAACCTTCTGAGAAACGCCACCTTCAAAGAGGGTATGCTACAAAATTACAATCCTACAGAAATGCAAAATGTACTAGCCTGGATATTTAGGATTTGTGTTTTATTATTTAAATTTTTGTTTCAAATTATTGCTATTCATAGATTGCTATTCATCTATGAATTAGTCAATCTGGAAAAAGTGAGATGTGACTCCCTGTGAAAGATGAAAAATCAGGCACTTTGGAGAAAGACTGTTTCCTAACTGGATTTAGACTTTCATGTAACCCTAATTCTGTGTTTCATATATATATATATATATTCG